CTGCAGCAGTGCCAAAACTGCCGAATCCTCCCACACATCCACTGCGGGCCGCGCCACCGCCCGCTGACGCCCGTTCTCCCCGGGCGAGTCTGTTAGGGCCCACGCCAACGCAGCAGCTGCTGACCAGCAAGGCGCCAGCACCTCCCCCAAGTCCCCCTCCTGCCGGACCCCTGCTGTGTCCTCGTCGGACTCCTGGGGGTACCGGCTAAGGCAGTCCATCTCGTTTTCTTCCCCGGGGGTGTAGTCGACTTCCATGTCGAACTCGCTCAGCATCATGGCCCAGCGAGCGAGCTTACCCGTCAGCTTCGTGTTGGTCAGGATCCATTTGAGTGGTCTGTGGTCGCTCTCCAGCCTGAACTGCTCCCCGTACAGATAGTTCCTCCACAGCCGCACGAAGTAGACCGCCGCCAGCAACTCCCCCTCGAAACTGCTATACCGGGACTCAGCCGGGTTGCAGCTCCGGCTCTCGTAGGCAATCACCCGGTCCTCCCCCGCCTCGTCAGCTTGCAGCAGGACCCCGCCTACCCCCTTCTTGCTCCAGTCGCAGCGCACTTTGAACTTGCGCCCACGCACTGGCAGTGCCAGCACCGGCTCGTTTTGCAGCGCCTTTTTGAGCGCCAGGAACGCCCCCTCCTGCTCCTCACCCCAGCGCCACTGCACCGCTTTCTTCGTCAACTCGTTGAGTGGCCCCTGCAGCCTGCTGCACTCCGGGATGAACCTCCGATAATAATTCACCACCCCGTTGAACGCCTTGACAGACGTGACGTCGGTCGGTCGCGGCAGGGCCTCAATCGCCGCCACTTTGGCCACCACCGGCGACACCTTGCCTGGACGCGGCCACATCCCGAGGTACTCCACCGAATCTGCCCCGAAGCAGCACTTGTCGGGGTGACATTTGAGCCCCATCTCTCTCAGCCGGTTCAGGACCCGCTGCACCAGCGCCATGTGCTCCTCCAGCGTGTCCCCTCCAGCCACCAGCACGTCGTTGATGAAGCTCCGCGCGAACTCCTCCAGACCCCTCAACGTCCTGTCGATCGCCCGCTGGAACCAAGCGCTGGCGTTGCGCGCCCCGAACGGACACCGCTTCCAGCAGTACAGCTTGGTGGACCCCCAGAACGCCAGCTTGCGCCTGTCCTCCTTCTTCACCACCAGCTGATGAAACGCTCCTCTGATGTCGATCGTCGAGTAGAACTTTGCGTGCCCCAGCGCGTCCAGCACCTCCTCCGGCAGCGGCATCGGGTAGCGATCCTGCGCCGTCTCCAGGTTAACCCTGCGCAGGTCCGTGCAGAACCGGTCCAGCTTCCAGTTCCCCTCCGGATCCTTCTTTGCTGCGAGCACCGAGTTGGCAGCAAAATCGCTGTCCGTCTCCTCGATGATCCCCGCCGCCTCCAACTCCGCGCACCGCTGATCGATCAACTCCCACTCCTTCACGCTGTGTTTTCTTCGCCGCTCGAAAATGGGCCTCTCTGTCTTCAGCGTCAACTCCACTTCGAACAGCTTAAACTCCCCAATTTCCTCTAAGCTGTTCGCGAACACGTCCCGGTTCGCCTCAGCCACCGCCGCCGCATACCCCTGCTCCTCAGGCGTCAGCTGACTCCCTACCGACCACCCCCGACACTTCCCGGCCACCGGCCCTCCCGGTTTTTCTGCTTTCACCGACTGCTCCTGCCCCACCGGTCTTCCAACCCCATCTTGCCCCGGTCGGATCTGCTCCCCCGACCCACCGACCTCCTTTCCGTCCGCAGCCGCCCGCAGCCCCCTCCCCGTATTCATTCTGAGCTGCTCCCCAGGCTGACCGCCCATCCCCTGTTCTTCCTTGGCCACACGCCCAGGCGCGCGCGCTCCTGACGCACCCACTCCTGCGGCGCCACCTGGCGCATGCGCACGCGTTCTTGGCGCGCCCACACCTGCGGCGCCACCTGGCGCCAGCGCGCGCCCTCCTGGCGCACCACCAGCCGCCGCG